GACACTGAACCAAATTTTCTGGGATTATTAACAGAGATGTTTAACCTCAGTGGGCTGACAGGGTTGTTTTATTCTGCTTTAACCTGAACCTATTAAAAAACCCTTCTATCCTTTATAAAGAAGCTAGAAAAAAATGAATTGTTAAAGGGACTTAGGTAAATGGAAGATTGTTCTCCTGAAATTTGCTGTGTATGCATTCTTAGAAAACACTATATTTTTGCTATTCAGAAGTGGGTTATTAGACTTTTATTTGCAATTACAATGGAGAAGGCACAATTTGGCACAGCAGCTCAGCAGTCCCCATAAATACAGACTTGGACCGTGATGGCCCCTCTGTCCTTGTCACAGTGAGTGCAGGTGACAGGGGGGTTGCAAGTTTGAGCTGCCCCTCGAGGATGAAATAGGTTCTCCCTGAAGTGAGCAGATGTTCTTGCTGCTGGCCTTTGTGATATTCATACTCTCAAAATCCTCTTTAGAAATGTTTGCTTCTCTCCCATTGCTGTTAATGTAGGGAACAGTGGGGGTGTGGGTGAGAGCAGTTTCTGGGATGGAGGTGCATTTTCAGGGACACTGAGACAGCTCCTACAAGGTGAGCCTGTTCCTCCTCTGGCTGTTTATGCCAATCTCTCCTCCAGTATTTACTCTAACGTTTATAAAAATAGATAAGTCTTCTGGAGAGCAAAGCCTGCTGAACTGGGGACAGGGAAAACCTGAATAAACAAACATGTGCCACAGATTAGTAAGAACATCTGTAGGTTTTATATTGTTTTGAGAACGCATACCACAGTTTTTCAATTCTTAGGCTTTTCTAGTTGCTCCTTTTCTTTCTGTCTCTCTCTTTTCTTCTTTTTAAATATATTGCTAATAAAGGTTGGAGGTAGGAAGCACAGCTGGACTCTGCATGACATGCCACTGTTTAATTTCTAGCTCGGAGGATGAGAAGAAGAGTAGTTTTATTGTATCCTAGAAGAGAATAAAGCCACATGCAAATTCCAGCCATGGACATCTGTTTCCTCTTTGTGTGAAAGAATTCTCATATTTGGAAGGGAATCCCAGTTCTGAAGGGGCTGATGAGGTTTTTGGTTTTTTCTTTTGGTTCTTTCCCCCGTTCTTTGCCCCTCCTTCAGCTTGCTGCCCTTGCTCTGGCTGCTGTTTTCCTCGGGACAATGTCAGCTTGCAATTTGCCATCAGATATCAAAAGGGTGAACTTTGAGTGTTATATATACACAATACTTTAAAGTGTTGTGTTGTAGTTACAAAGAGCATTATTGAGTTCCTCCTTAAATTTCTTTTATTTAATTAAACACTGTTTGGTGGGAGGACTTTTGCTCTGTCATCAATCTTCAGTACTTACAGGTTGGTATTTTTCTTTAGAAGTGAGATGTATCTGCTGCTCTGGCGGGGAAGTGCAGCTATTTCTAAAAGTAACTTGTTAAACAGAATAACTTAAAATACTTTGTATTAGGGGAATTCAGTAGATGTGTAGAAATAAGCATCTGCAAACTTCATTACCTTAAGTTAGGCATCAGGTGCTAAGGACTGCAGGGACTAGAGTAAATGATAATTTCACTAACCTATAAAACATTTTAGAATAATTATTTGCAGCTGTCTGGGGACTTTAAATTTGCCTTTTGTGTGTGTTTAAGGGTTGACTCTGATGAGCAAACAGCATGGTTATATAACATTAGGCCAGACATGAGAACTGGTACTCTCTGTCTATTTTATATTAATGTCGAATGAGGGGTTGGTGGAGCTTGCCAGGGTTTCATATTTGCTGGCAGCAAGTTACCCACATGTGTGGACCACATTTTTATTGTTGCCTTAGCCTATTTCAGGCAGAAATATCTCTCCCTAACAGGGTGTGATTCTGTTCATTGCTGAAGAGCTTTTCTTTTAGGGAGCAAAATGCAAAAAGGAATGAAATGCTGTAAGTGTTCAAATTAAGAAGTGTCCCCAGACTGCAGGATTTTGTCACGTCTGCCGTGGTGGAAGAATAAAGGGCAATAAGCCTTTAGAAAAGGATTTTTCAGGGTGGGATGAGCTACCCTCGCAGAGCTATTTCTTTTTGCATATATTAATGCTACTTTTGGGTGTGGGCTGTTTAGTCTGGGCTCTTAGGGAGACGAGGCTTATGCAAGCAGGGTGTTTGCACACATGGACACACAGCAGCCTGCGCAGCCCTTGCACACCGTGGCCACGGAAATGTGGCGCAAGGGCAGAGGCTGCGAAGATAAACAGGAGCTCTGATAACTTTCTTGAAAATATGTGTGTGAAGGGAGGATAAAGGTGATTAAAGGGTTTGAAGGAAGGCTTTCAGTAGCAGCTGAACTTTCAACAAGGGCTGTGGAATAGATCTCGAGAATAAATGTGATGGAGGTCCCCGTCACGGGAAGATTGCCGAAGGCGGCTTGGAAATGATTTGGCTTCAGAGAATCTGATGACAAAACCCAAATCCGCAGGAAGACAGACTCCCTTTCATTCCAATACCCATGAAATTGCTTGCGTGGGTTTTGTTTTTAAATCAGGATGTCAGGATCCAATGGGTGAGTGTAATAAATGTAGGACATCTCCTTAGGATCTTCTTAGTGCAGCAAAGATGCTGCTGCTCTGCTTGGTGGCAGTGGTGCTTCCTATTTTGCTTGGGTTTTGCAAGTTTTTAAACTCTAGTAAAGCGTGACTTAGGAGTGTTTGAATGTTTAAACCCTTATCCTGCAGTCCTCCCAGAGAGGAGGGAGCCCAGTGGCTGTGCAGGTCACCCTGACATGCATCTGAAATCTGCATCCCATGGGGAATGCATCCCATGCATTCCCTTTTCCCCATGGGGAAAAGGGAAACTCACAATCCCCATCCAGCCTGGGCTGCCCCTGAGCAGGACACAGAAAGCAAACACCACTAACACTTTTTCAAACAGCACTTTGAGCAAATTTCCCCTTTGATTGAAATGCTTCAAGCTAGGCAATATAAAGGGGATTATGTCACAAGCTTCCCTTGTTGTCTTATTAACAGCTGCTTAATTTTACCACTCATTCATGAGCATAAAAAAGCAAAACTTGGAGGCTGTATTTGAAAGCTTGTTTTGTTTGGTGTACAGCTGGATACAAAGCATTTCCTTTTTTCTTTTTTAACAAATTTGAAGCAAATGTATTGGTTATTGTTACATATTTCTCCCTATTTTTTTGGTCTAGATGATAGAAGATTATGTTGCTTTTCATTTTACATTGCAGAGAAATCATTCCATATAATTTCAGTTCAACAATGCTGCAGTAGCACGTGGGTGTGTATATATCTTCTCATAAATATATTACCACATATCAGTGCCAAAGAGCTGGGCTTTTTCACCCAGTATTAAAAATGAAATTTAATTGCTACACTAGAGTTTCAAGACTCTGATAAATAAGAGCCATGTCTGACCTTTATTGTGGGGCTCTGAGATGCCACCAGGGATATTGCTCGTTGTCCAAGATGACAAACTTCCTCTGAGATTTCAGTTTGTCAGCTCAGTGTACAGCAGTGACATTGATTTCTTCTCACTGCCATTTCCTGCCTGAATAGATAACAAATTTTCTGTGGCAGGTGTCTGTCAAGTTTAGTTTTGCCTGGCAGATTAACTTAATAGACTCATTTATTAATCATTACTTGCAGCACAGGGAAGCAGACAATACTCTTTGTCTCCTGTGATGTTGAATGGATGTTCCATTTCAGATTCCTTTGTGTAGTCTGAATTTGGGTTTAATAAGCCATTCATATCTCTAGTGAACATTTTTAACCTGACATCACTCAGAGCAAAGCTATCTGCATTAAATAAGCATGATCCATTTTGAGTGTCGACTCCTTTTCATGGCAAAAGATGTGTAAGTGCTTTCTGAGACTAAATAATTTGATATATGAACTGCCAAATCAGCCTAAACAAGGGGGGAAATTAAGAAAGATAAAAGTAGAAGAAAACAGGTAATTGGAGGAAGATTTGAGCCTGGGGTTGACTGGCTAACAAAGTGGAGGAGATAATGCAGCTTTAGAAAGGGGCAAAGCAGACCTGCAGATACAGCTGTAGGGCAAACCTAGGACAGGCCAGTGCTTTCCTGGAGACCCTTCTCTCTTCTCAAGGAATACCTTGGGACAGATATTCAGCCTGGAGATAGAAAGGCAGAGTTGGTACCAGAGGTAGATATTAGACAGGACTTCTCTGAGTGGTGAAGGACAAGGAAGAATTTAGTGGAGGGCTTTGCCGAGGAGAAATACCATAGAAGGCATAACCTTGGGAAGTGATGTCTCTTGTTGCACAGTGTTTCAGTGTGCTCACAATGCAAACTGACTGAGGAGCTGTGAAGGACATGGAAATGCACTCCTGGGACAGGTGGCAGCAGGAATGAGCCTGGACAGAGACACGGGGGTCCCAGTGACAGGAGAACCCCGTGTCACAGGCCACGGGAAGCACCAAGCTTCTCCCTTTTAGCTGGGTTGTGGTAGCTCCTCACAACCTGCTTGTGGTTCTCAAGGGAGCTGGCTCCTGGGAGATCATGGGACAAGTTCAGGAAGGTTTTTGCAGCCGATGCCCAAGTGCAGAGCCCTGGTTGCAGCACAAGAGCTCAGCATCTGTGAGAGTCTGCACTGCTGAGGATGTTTTTTGCCAAGCTGTGTTCCTGGCCTTGGGAACGTGTTTCTTGAACCATCCTCATGGCTTTCTTGGCTGGCTGACAAACCAAGAATGTCCCTGCACTAGATCACACTGCTTATTGCACTTCTAGGCCACCCTGTAACAATACATTAACCTCTCAGCAGGGAATGTGATAAACAAAGTAAAACTGCTTTAGTGAAACCAGTCATTTAATGGCAGCATACATAAAGTGTCCGTAAAGATTTGTAAGTGTAATAAGCTGCAGTTCACTGAGAGAACAATAACTGTTCCTAATTTAGCCAGTTGAGGAGCATGCTAACCCAATTTACTTTTGTAACATTATGTTGTTTTTTTTGTTTTTTTTTTTCTTTTCCCACCTCTCCAGATTCCTTTCTCTCTGGTACAGTTTCCCCTCTGGGAGTCCTTAAAGGTAAGTTCTCTTTTAGTGGTGGAAATATAAGTTATACATTTTGCAAGGGCTTCCCATGGTAACTTATGTAACTGCATTATTGTGATTATGGGTATCTTCAAGAATCAGAAATTATATTCCAATTTACCTGTGCCTGTGAAGATCATATGCCTGAATATCTGAAAAATAACAGGGAATATCTAACCACTGATCTATGGCATGCAGGCTAGATTTTACTCCCAGCATGCCGGAAATTTTATCTTTGGCTCTAACTTTTTTTGCTGCTAAGAAAGAGTGGGAACCACCTTATGTTGTGTGATTTTTTACATTTATTTTAATTTTTTTAGTGTTTTTCTCTTCATGGTAAAAGAAAATTGTCAATGAAAAAAACTTTCCGCCTGGTTTTGTAAACTTCACTGAAAAGATATTTTGATTGGCTGCATATACTTTATTTTAAGGTCATTTAAAGAAGGTGTCAATGGGTGATGTTTTAACAGTGCAGTTGTTACCATGGTCAGAGTCAGGATCTAGGGTTTTAAGTGGAGGATTGGATTTGAATAATTTCTCCATCCCTCTGTATTTCCTTGAACTCACTGCAAAAGATGAAGTGTTTTTCAAGTACTTGGAGGTCATGGGGTGGAAGCACAGAGAATTATTCCAGATCATTAAAAACATTGCAGCAAAATATATTTATGAAAGAGGAGCTGGAGAGAGAAACTTTCTTCTTGGTAGGGGAGCTGGACTTCTGAGCAAGCTCAGCACAGAGACCCAAAGTGGGTCCTTGTGTGTTGGATTGGGACAATCCAATGTGTGTTTGTCCTCTTGCTGTGTGTCTGTAGCTGGGGCTGTTTGGGGGGGACAAGCCCACAGAGTGAATATTTGCATGTAGAGGCTTTAGGGAATTCAATTTAAAGGTGAATCCACAGGCAGGAGGAGCATGAAAATCATCAGGAGCTTTTGCAGAACTGAGCTGTGCTCGTGGAGGATTCTGTGGGTATTTCGTGAGCTGCTGTGGGGTCTGGGCATCATCCCACTGCTCAGGGGAGCTTGGGCTGCCTTATTAGGAATCTGCTTCCCTGCCAGTGTCCAGGAATGGCTTTCTGTAAACTCTTCAGCAGTGGTACTGGCCCAACCTGCTAGTGGTTAGTGCAGCAGCCGTGGCTGGGAGCAAGAGGTGGCAGTGCTTTAAGGGTAAAAGTGTGGTGTTCATGCCAAAACCACAGAAACCAGCAACATCATGTGGCTGTTTGCAGAATGTAAAGTTGTTTTAACTAATGTCCACGTAGCTGTGACAGTAAAATGTATTGTTTACATTACAGGCTTTAAAGAAGACAGTTTGAATTTAGCTAACTACAGGAGTGAGTCACTCAGGATGAGGCATCATGTTTAATCTAAGGAGGTCAGTGCAGAGCTGAAGAGAAACAAAACTTGTGTCAGTTTGTTCCACAAACCTGTTGCATTATATTCTTCTGATGTGAAGTCGAGAGTAGAAAACTGCAAAAATTAGTCTGGCATACTCAGTCACTTTGGCTCAGCACAGGGAGAGAGCTCAAGGCTTGTCATATCAAAGCCAGGCAGTGAAAGCAGAATACATTTTGTTTATCTGAGGGAAGCTCTTAAAAATTGTCCTGACAGTATAACAAAGGACAAAAATCATTATGGTCCCATCAAGAGGATGGATGTGGCCAGTAACATCACTGGAGTATGGTGGAGGGTGTAGGGCTCCTCACGGGTGCACAAAGGGAGCATGAACAGACAGTAATTACAAAGAAATAGAAATGCAAAGGACAAGAGAAAAGTGGCACAAAGCCTGAACAGAAAAGAGTTATTGAGATGATGCCTGAGGGACTGTTCTGCACTGGATTAATGGGATTACTTGAGAAAGTAACTGTGGGAGCAGTTGTGTATGATGTGTGTGGGCCATCCCACTGAGGAGAGTAGAACAAGAGCTGTGGCTGTGTCATTTTTAAAACCATTTGTGTGAAGTGACATAAGCTGATGGAAGTTAGACTCAGTCCTGATTCCCTGAACAAGCTAATCACCATAAAAATGAAAAAAATCTTTCCACTGTGAAAGGACAGTTAGAGAGGCACATGGAAGAAGAAGAGAGGTTCCTTTTCCTTCAGATATGTGCTGACTGCAGCCAGCAGCAGGGTGTTAATCTTAAAGAAGCCTAAAGAGGCTTGTCAGAGGTGGCAAATGGTGTGTTTCTACATCCCATTTTCTCTATCTGCTTTACTCCAAGCTGCTCTGGTTATTCCTTATGCTTTATCACAGAGTTTACATGCACAGTTTTCTCCTGTCTGTGCATGTGCACCAGCTGTCCCCTGTGAGAGCAAACCTGCATGCCATGCACTGAACTCTGAAAAGAAGAGAGAGCATTGTATAGATTGCTGAGCTATAAGGTTACGTTGGCTGTGGGTGCTGGCAAAGGGAGGATTGCAGTAATTAGCAAGAAACAGATACTGCTTCAAATCCAAGCATTACTGATCCTGACTCAGGTGAACACACAATTTAGGAAGGGGCAATAGTCTCCTTCCTTAGTTCACAGTGACTCAAGAAACAACAGTAAAGAAATTATGGTGCTTTTAATTGAAAAAAAAGGGTTTTTTAAATTTATTATTTTTTTTATTTAGGTAACATCCACTGCTATAAGATGTGCTTAATGTCCTTTCTCTTGCCAAGTCCATTTTTCCATATTTTGTTTGAGGCACAGATTATTGCTATAAACCAAAAGAGAGAAGGAAACTGCTATGGTGTATCAGATTTCAGGATTTTCTAATCCCTATCTAGGGTGAGTTAGTGTAGTCTTTTCTATCTCTTAGTCCAAGCCATACAGGCTGAATTCTTCTCAGAGTTCAGGGAAAGAAAGGATGTTACAAATTTTATTCACTTTCTGCCACACCCATCCTCAGAAGAGCACCATGGTTGAATATTACTGTGACAGTTTGATCAGATTTAGGTTCTTTTACATGGGGTTAATGCTTCTGATCCCATCTCAAAGCCAAGTGTCCCTGAAGAAAGGCAACAGAGCATAGATGTGGTGTGCTTCCCAAATACCAGCCAAGCACAGAGCCTTCCATATTAGTTCAGGTTTTGGAATCAATGTTGTAAGACTGTTGTATATGTTGTATACTGCCCTGGAATTTCCAGGGTGCCTCAGTAAGTTGCTTTGGAAATACTATATGTGTGTTCCTTACTGTGGGAATTTCACATTGTGGGCTGTGTATTTGGCATGAAATTGTTGTGGGTTACAGGAGCCTGGTGCAGCTCCTGTGTTCACCCTGCTGCCAGGGCTGTGCAGGCTCTGCTCCTCTGGCCCTGAGGACCCCATCCCTCTGCCTTGTCTTTTATTCTCTTCTGTTCAGACATTTTATTCAGTGCTTAAAATCATCATATCCGAGTTCCTACCAGCAGCACATCAGTGATTTATCATTTGTTTCATGTTTTAATCCTTCTCTTTTAGAACTAACTGAAAAAAAACCAAACTTTCAGTTCTGCTGGGGGGCTCTTAGAGAAATAAAGGGCATCAGGTATTTTGGTTTTTTTCAATAACATATCATTTTAAAACCCTACAGAAAATTAAGAGCCTCTGGTTAGGTTTGAGTCCAGAAACATTTTGTCAAAAATGCCTGTTTCTTAATGCTCAGTGGAAATGGTCAGATCGCTTGAAGTGCAGTGCTGTAAGATAAACCCTTCTCAGGTGAAACAAGACTCAGTCCTCTTGGGTTTTATATTTCTGCATCTTGGCTGTGCTTCAGAGTCTCTGAGGGTTACTCAAATGCAGCTGTACAGGGAGAATGGTCTCTTTATAGACCAAATGTATTGTATGTCTGGAGAAAAGGCTCTGGTAACCAGCGAGGAGGGAAGGAGCAGGCAGGACAGGAGGACATAGGTCTCAAATGAGTGGACTTGAAAAACAAAGGGGTTTTTGTTTAGGTGGTGGGTTTTTTTAAGGAAAACAAACCTGCTATGCTGGGAGGGTTTTGTCTCTCTCATTGGACAGGTCTGACTCTTAAGATGAGACACTTGGACATTGCTAAGAGTGTGGAACATCAGGGCCAGCCAGTCCTGTCCCTACAAACCCAACCTTTCTGGGAGGGCAGGCACACACTGTGCTGCTCTGCTGGCCCAGGAGCTTCAAAGAAAGATCAAAATCTTCAAGTGACCACGCTCAAGGTGATGTGTGACTCTTCTGGCACTCAGCAGGGCCAGGATTTCCCTCTTTGTCTCACTGCTGAGCAAAATTTAGAGCTCTTAGACTTTCTGCAATTCTAGCGAGCCCACAAGTTTTTTTGTCACTGGTTTTAGCAATAAAATAAGTTTCCCAAATCTGTAGGTTTCACAAATTAAAAGGTGTTATACAAAAAGGGAATGGGGAGAGTCCAGCCATTCCTCTGTGAGGCTGAGAAAATGGGTTGGGTCAGAAGAGGAATTCCATGGGCTGGTTCTGAGCTGGTTTCTGGGCATTTGGGATGAGGTCCTTTGTTTTCTGTTCAGGTGCAGGTGTCACTGTAGGCACGAGGCACGTGTGTGAAGGGGATTGTGCATGTGAACTGAACCATAGGTCTAGAGGACAATGGCACATGTGCTCATTTGCTTGGTTCTCTTGGTTCCTCTCTGCAGAGAACTCAGCTACAGGGGCTGGGATAGGCAATATAGAGTGTGAACTGATTTTAGGGTCAGATCAGCCTCGCTCTTGGCCATCAGTGCAGATAGATTCTGAGATACATTTTGAAGCTTGCTGTGCAATGACTGCTTGATGGCTTTCTGTGGAGGGTCAACACTCTAACCTTGGTTGAAGCTCATTGCACCTGATTTTTAATGTTAATAAGAATGAAAAGTTTACAGAATACTTCTGCCCAACAGCTGGGGTTCTCAGCAGTAATACCTGTTTATAACTCCACCATTGAATCAATAAACCACATGCTATTTCCCTCCTAAAATTTACAGTCAGATCTGTTGCTGCTTAACAGGGCAAGTAGAAAATAGAGGCATATAGCCAAACTGGGCCTTAAATG